GCCCGAGATCCAGCGGACTAGAGGACTGCAGAGGGGGATCTCCGCATGACCAGACCCTGTGGAGGGTGCCCTCCTCTCTCTCTCTCACTCTCATGGGCACACACATACACTCTATCATGAATAAAGGGAAAGAAATTAAAAAAAAAATTTTTTTTTGAGAACAAAAAGCCAAGTGCTCTGAAGACTTGAGTCACAGGGCCTGCTACTACTAATGACTCAGCAGAATTTGGATTTGCAAGAGGTAGGGCAAACCGTTAGCATTTTGTGATGAGGCTTGACATCCTTTTAATAGTCTTGTTACCAGATGTATAGACCTAAAGCAAAATGAAATTGCTCTCTGAAAAATTTGCCTACATTCTTAATACTAAATCCTTTTCTTTCATTAGTTTCTGATTTGGTAAATATTCTACAAAGTAATTGCATTTAATGTCTAACATTTGAGTAAGTCTATGTGCAGATCTACACGTTTCCAGCTTCGAAAGTCACTTAGGGTAACTGTGTATTGAGTGAGGTCCCCTAACGTCTGTCCAGATGCATGTTATATGACTGTCGCATTCTCAGTAGTACTCTAATAAGAGAAAATCCAAAGCTTATATGAGGGGATTTCAGAAATTTTATGGAAAAAAATGGAAACAGCATACAAATTTATTTTGGTGCAAAAAAAAGTTGAAATCCATGCATAGCTTTTTTCATAATATACATTTTTCATAAACATTTTGAAGACCTCTCATATATTTGTTCACTCTTCAGAACAATTTTGGGAAGCCACTACTATTCGTATTATTTATAATTTCCCAAAGCATGTATGCTTGCCTGAGAGACAAGACAGAGGAGGAGAAGCACTCCCCAATGTGGTGTGGTCACGCTGCAATCCCTTCTCCATTTCTCCATCCTTTTGGGATCTGGGGCGCACACACACATGCACCCAGTGTGTTTTTCAAGCCTCTGAGGCTGTGATTTGAGCCATGGCTGGCCATGGGGGACCCAGCTCCTTTAACTAGTAGGCAAAGGGGCCAGCCCGGGAGGTTGATATTATTTTCACCACCTGCACATTTAAGGAAAGCGTGGTACAGAGATCTTAGGGAAGAGGCTCCGACTCGCACAGCAAGGAATTGGCTAAATAAAAACTCTCCCGGGTTAATCACAAAGCTCTTGCTCTTTGCAGTTTTGTATTAAATCTGTCTAATTAGCTTCTTAATAATCTTATTTGTAGCGCATTTAAATGTCCTCATCTCCTTATATTTATAACATGAGATACTTGGTAAAAATAAAAAAGGCGCCACCAAGACTAAATTTTGTTTTAACCAGATTTAAACCAAGTCATGCTGATTCTGACCTAATTTCACTTCCTTGCTGTCATTTCTTTTGGAATATCTGGCAGAAAAAGCCTCAGAAGAAACAGACTTTTGTGATTTCTTTTGAAACTTTACTAACTAACCCTGGGATAGTATTCAAGATAGGCTTGCCTGGTACCGAACCAAATAGGTGTCAACTGCTTTCTTCTTTTTAAAAATAGAAATGTCAGGCAGTTCAGAATTTAAGTTTCTTTGTAATTGGTGCCATTACTGAAAAAAATAATAGTGGGGTCAGCAGGTGGCACAGAGCTTAGGGAGGCTGGATTCCACATGGCCAACTTTGCAATTTGAGTCCCAGGCCTGGTGGCTTGAAAAACACACTGGGCACAGGTATGTGCATGTCCGAAATCCCAGGAGGAGATGGAGGAGAAGGGATTGAGGCATGGCCATCCCCCTGTGTGTGTGTGGGGGGGGGGCGACTTCTTATTTTCCTTCTCTCTGTCTCTCTCCAATGAGTGTCCTTGCCCTATGGCAAAAGTCTTTTAAAAGAAAAGAAATAATGAACAACGTTCCTCTTGAAACTTTTTCCAATATTTAGGGCTATCCCTTAGAATTGTTTTTCCAATGGAGAATCATCACAATATAGGATTTAAGTGTATTTACTTATTTATAAATGTCTTTGGTTGCTGCCCAAAATGTCTTGTGAATTAACATGCACTTCAGCGACATATAGTGTTGCTATCATCTTTCAGATGAAGGGGCTTTTTTCTGAAGATGAAAGTAATTCATGCTGAGTGTAGAGAATGAAGGCCGTGGTATCCGTTCTTCAGACAGTTCAGGCTCGTCCAGGACTCAGTTGCCGAAAGAGTAGTCTTTTAAAATGTATGTTTTTCTGCAACAGAATAAGCTTAAATGACACATTCCCCTTTATTTTACTGACAAAAGTTTCTTATTCCTTGGTTTAATAGTAAAAATGTTTGGAGCTGGCAAATGGCATGGTGGTTAAGATGCTGGACTCCCACATGGCTGACGGCAATTCAAGTGCCAGACCTAATGACCTAGTAGCTTGCTTTCTCACTTTCTCTCTCTCTCTCTCTGTCTCTCTCTCCCCTCCCCCGTTCCCCCCCCCGGCCAAATTGAAAAAAATAATTAAATTAAATAGAATAATTCTTTTAAAATAATAATGATAAAAATGTTTTGGTTCAGCTGAAAACTACAAACTGATATCCTTGATTGTTTAAAGTGAAGCAGCATCTTTGTTTTCACGAAACCATCTGCATACTGAAGAAAGTCTTGCAAAACCAGCTCTGGCTGTTCATTTGTAGCAGACACTTTCAGCAGACTGGCACAGAGGTCACAACCAGCACTGCCCTGCTTGGGCCATAGTGACCCAGTTAAAATCAAAGTTGGAGGGACCAGCAGTTAGTGTAATGGCTATGTTGCTGGACTCCCTCATAGTCGACCACGGTTCAAGTCCTGGACCTGGTGGCTGAAACTCACGCCGGGCGCGTGTGCGTGTGTGCCCAAGATCCCGAGAGGAGAATGGAGGAGAAGGGATTGCGGCATGGCCATCCCCCCTGGGGGGTGATTTCTCGCTTTCTGTCTTTCTGTCTCTCTCTGTCTGTCTGGCGAGCGCACGCGCCCTATAGCAAAAACCTCTCAAAAAAAAATAAATAAATAAAATCAAAGTTGGGGCCACAGTCTGTAGCTAGCAAAGCAGCTTTTTTTGAGAATCCACTTATTTATTCTATGAAAGAGAGAGAGGAGAGAGATAGAGAGAGAGAACCCCTACACCACTGTAGGCAGACCCCCCCCAACACACACCGTGATTCACCCTGCCTTCGGCTAGCCTGGATCATGGGCACGTCTATTCTCAGGGCACTCGGGGAGGTATCCGGATACAAACCACTAGTTTTTCCAAGCCTTGCAGTGTGGTCTTTTACCACTGCATTACCATTCAGCCCCCACACAGCAGCTTTTAGTGTTGCACAGGGTGCCAACTGGAAGGTCATGTGTTATTTTCAAAACCCTATACCTACATCTTTAGGGGCCTTAAAACCAGAAAGCCAGTCCAGCCCCATCCATATGCATAGGGCAGTTATACAACTATTTCTATTTGAAGGTGCAAATCAAAGCAGCCCTTACTCCTGGGCAAAAGCAAACCAGAGACATTGCACCAACCCAAAGTTAAGGCTGGAAGAATTATGCAATCATTCTCCCTAAATAAGAGGTAGGAACTCTTTTGTCTGCTTTGCTAGTTTCCATGTGAGAGTTCTTGCTACCACAGAATTTGAATGAACACAGGGAAGACAAGCAGGGAAATCCCCGGAGTTAAAGACAATGTGAAGAGTACTCCCTATGTAAGGCTTGTGTAAAGGCTCTAGGTTGATTGTGTGGCATCTGAACTTGTGCCCACTGCCAGCTCCGCTGTGTAAGAGCAGACAGCCAGATGATGTCTTTAGAATAATTCCCATGGCAGGGAACAAAGAAGCTCATAAAAAATAAATGCCCATGTAAAAAGGGGTCCTGAAGAAAGTACCACAGTGTTGACGTTGGCCTTGTTTTGTGTCTACTAGCTGGTTACTAAGATGGCGGGAGCGCCTTTGCACACATGGAAGAGCCTGGCCAGGTCTGAATCCAACGTCCAGAGCCAGAAACCTTATTTCTTCAGTCACAGGATAATTTTGGTTCAAAGTAGTCCCTTAACAAGCCTGCTTCAAAAGCTCCAAGCCTCTTTGTTTTGTTATGCTTGCCTAAACATGCCTTTCAAAGAGCTAGATTTGTAAATATGACTTTATTATAATCCTCCTCTTTGCTTTTAAGTATAGACTATTCAATGCATTTCTACCGTCTTTGTCTCCTAATTTAAAATGTTTTCTTGGATTGAGTTTGATTATTTAAAACATTAAGGAGTTGGTCATGCCACGGCTACGTCCTAGCAGGTGATAGAAAGCACCCATTCCTACAATTTTATTGGGTGGATTAACACCGAGTGTGGACAAACAGAGGGATCTGTTGGTTTCTCACTAGCTGAGTGTGTTTTCAAATGTTATGCTTTTATTTTGTATTTCCTAAATATCCTATAATTAGACCTTCAATTTGTTCTTTGATGGATTCGTTTATATAATTTATTTTAAATTGTCAGTGCGAGTATGCCACCCGAGAGAACACACAGACTATTTTTCATCTCTAGCCAGTTTGTTTTTTAATTTACACTCTTGTCATTGATTTTAGGTGTACAGTGTAGTGGTCAGAAAATACTACCTGGTGTATGTTATATTTGTATACGTTTTTTGCACACACAGTGTGATCTGCTATTTTTTACAAAGTAAAAAGATTATTGTAGTTATTACTCAACCTTGTAAGTCTTATGGTACTTGATTTTATTGTCTACTGGAGCTTGTATAGATTCATTCTGCCTTAAAGACATTCATAAAATATTCTTCTATTTCTCTTTAAATTATAAACATTTTTTCTATGTGCTTTAATACAATTCAATTTCATATATCATAGGGACAAGCTATATTATTATGAATTACATCTTAAATAAACATCTTTTATTTTACATTTGCCTCCAAGGGTCCTTTGATTGGAATTTATGTTACAGGTCACTAAGGCTCTCAGAGTTGGTGAATATTGTTTTATTTTAGATTTGCCATTCTACTATTCAGCATTTCACATGATATTTTTTTCCCTTTGCTCCAGTTTGCCAGGGCACCAGTAACAGGCTCACACAGTTGGGCACCTTTGAAGATCACTTCCTGAGCCTCCAGAGGATACTGAATAACTGTGAAGTGGTCCTTGGAAATTTGGAAATCACCTACGTGCAAAGGAATTACGACCTTTCCTTCTTAAAGGTTAGTTCAATGCATTTGATTGTCCTAGCCAAATATAATAGAAGTAACTATACGTGGTTAAAGGCTTTGCAGCGTTTAATTCAGTATGAGTGTACTTCTGCTATGGCATTCCACATCCAAGGGAACTACAGCTGAGAGTTTAGGGGAGGACCACTATACCAACTAGTGTCAAGTTATAGCTAGAAAAGCATATCCAAGAGAATCGGGCTCCTCAGGTACTCCCTACCATCATGGGCACTAATATTAACCCTGACCCTTGCTTCAACCATGGTGTGCTGATACAATAGCTCTTGAGGAAAGAGAAAGGAAAAGGAAAAGGAAAAGGAAAAGGAAAAAGCTCTTCTTTGTAGCATTGGCCTATTTCTTTGGTGTAAATACTCCCATCGTAGCTGATTTTAGTCTACCAAGAGTTTTATAATCAGTTTGTAAAATTCCTGAATATTCAACAGTAGAATCTAGGGAGCCAATAGGAGCCAGCTCTAGAAGATTCAGAGTTCAGTGGTAGTTGAACTATGATTGAATTGGCTTGGCTTTCTCTGTGTTTATTACTATTTTTTTTAATAAAATCAAGTGACAGAGAGACAAAATAATTTTAACGATTTCACTGGAGTGTGTTGAATACCTGGTAGGACAGGAGCCACAACACTCCTAAATAATGCACGTTGCTCTTTTTCACAACCTTCAAAGGCAAAAGTGGAGGAATCACTGCAAACCCTGCCACCTCCCATTTCCCCACTTGCAGTCACCTGCATGCCCTACATTTGTCAACCACTCACATTTATCATGGTTTAGTTAGGTGTCCTGGAGCTCTCTGGACCCATTTTAGACCTTGGGTTCTTGAGTTCCTCAAATGAGAAATAACATATTCATCTTCTGTCTCCTCAGACCATTCAGGAGGTTGCTGGTTATGTCCTCATTGCCCTGAACACAGTGGAGAGGATCCCCTTGGAAAACTTGCAGATCATCAGAGGAAATGTGCTCTATGAAAACTCCTATGCCCTGGCAGTCTTGTCCAACTATGGTGCAAATAAAACTGGACTAAGGGAGCTGCCCATGAGGAACTTACAGGGTGAGAGTCTTGGGAAGGTCATGGAGGGTGTAAACGTTGACAGGGGTTCTGATGGCACCAGTGGACAGTCGCTTCTCTTAATTAAAGCTGGCACATCTAATTCATCTTTGCAGACCCTGCAGCACTTGCCCAGTGTTTTGTCCGCGTAGCTTATTACAGAAACGTGCGTGTTGAATTCCATCATGCAACACTCTTCCTTTGTACAGACTTGAATTATTTTTTCCCATCTCTGACTTTTTCCTGTTGTCTCAGTTCTTCCTTTAGAGTAATGGTATAGTCTGTATGTCCTTTGTGTCACTGGTGTCACCTCTTTGTTGTACATTCAGATTATTTTTATTTATTTTTTTTTTTGAGAGATTTTCACTATAGGGCACATGTGCTCACCAGACAGACAGAGAGAGACATGGAGACAGAAAGCAAGAAATCACCCCCCAGGGGAGATGGTCATGCCTCAACCCCTGCTCCTCTTGGGATCTTGGGCACGCACGCACACGTGCCCGGCGTGAGTTTTAAGCCACCGGGTCTGGGACACAAACCGCGGTCGACTACTTGGAAGTCCAGTGACATAGCCATTACGCTAACTGCTGGTTCCCTACATTCAGATTCTTCTTGCTCTATCTCGTGATTGCCCTGGCCCTTTCTCCTCCATCTCCTCCTTAAAATCATACAGTCATTCCAGTTCAACCCAACCAGCCACTGGGAGCCACCAACATAGGTGGATCATCATTTATACTGTACCCCCTGACTAAATCATTCTTTCCTTCTTCCCCATATTCCAAATTTCTGTTCATCGTTCAAGGCCCTATCTAGGTGAAATCCTAACTTCTTTGTGGTACTGTCATCACTTCATTTGATAGTCACACAACAAGGCTTTCACAGGCCTAAATACAGAGACTCTAATTTGCACACTGGCTTCATTTTACCAGAACTTAAAATGTAAAGAAATGCACACATAATTAGTAGGGATATATATATGTGTGTGTGTGTGTGTGTGTGTGTATAAAATGTTTTTGCTATAGGGCTCATTCACTTGTCAGAGAGAGTCAGTGACAGAAAGTGAGAAATCACTCCTCTAAGGTACAATCCCTTCTCTTCTTCATCTCTTGCAATTTTGGACACACATGCACTCGCACCTGGTATGATTTTCAAGCCACTGGGTTCAGAACTCAATCCCATGTGGGATCTAGCCACCTTAACCACCACACCACCGTCTGGCCCAATTAGTGGTAAGAATTTGAAGGGATGGACATCTGCTTACTACAGTTCCTTTCTAACACAGAAATCCTGCATGGTGCTGTGCGATTCAGCAACAACCCCTTCCTCTGCAACGTGGAGTCCATCCAGTGGCGGGACATCGTCAACGTCAACTTCCTGAGCAATATGTCACTGGACTTCCGGAGCCATTCAAGCAGTTGTGAGTGTTGCATGGTGTGCTTTCTGCCTCCGGCTCCCATGGTGGGGAGAGCTGTTCAGCGTGGGCTGTGGAAAGAAGGCACGCAGGACATTGCTACATTGATCCGAAACAAAACTAAGTGGTAAAGACTTCTGTGCCCATGTCAGGAGCATTTGTTGAAGACAGAGGGGAAAGTCTGTTTTTCATGGTCGGAGGTAGCTTTCTTGCCAGCAGGATAGGTAGCCCCCCTCCCAGGGCAGGTAAATCCTCATGTGGCTGTGAGGAGGGTGGCAGATCAATCCCAGCAGTGGGTGCTCTCCCTTCCTGCCCTGTAAAGATTGGCCAAACCTTTGTGTGCATCTGACCTGCTGCTGAGGCTCTCTATCTGGGAGCAGTGAGGCAGGTGGGTGTGGGCAAAGCTGGGCTCAGCCCATAGTGGGGGGTGTCCATATTTCCCTGAGTGTGTGTGATCTAGTCCCTGCCCACTCATCAGTCAGGCAGCCTATGAGGGAGGGCGTGGCAGGGGACCAGGCAGAAGGTCAGACAGTGCCACTTCCTGGGGCTGTGTGGGAAACTCCAATGACACATGCTTACACTTAGAGGGTCTCCGGGCTTGCACCCATGCCTGGTGGCTCTCGGCTTTTAAACCTTCAAAAACCAGACACTTTTCCTGCTTCTCCACCTCCCTGCAACTGTGACATAGATGCATATTTAATTTTAGTTTCAGAAAAAATGAGCCTAAACATACCTTCAAATCATCGTCTAGAGCCCTTTAAGTTTTCTGATTATTAGTTCTGTTTTCTTTCTTTCTTTATGTATTTGTCATGGTGAAATATCCATAACAGAAAATTTGCCTTCTCTGGATGAGCAGTTGAAGGAATAGCTATGTCACTGGACTCCCATGTAGTCAAACATGGTTCGAGTCCTGGACCCAGTGGCTTAAACTCACACCAGGCACGTGTGCATGCATGCCCAAAATCCCGAGAGGAGAATGGAGGAGAAGGGATTGCTGCGTGGCCATCCCCCTGGGGAGTGGTTTCTTGCTTTCTATCTCTGTCTTTCTGGCGACATGTGCCCTATTGCAAAATCCTCTAAAAAAAAAAGAAAGAAAATTTTCCTCTCAACTGTTTTTAAGGGTACAATTCAATAACACCATGCATCCACGTAGTTGTACAACTGTCATCACCATTCGTACAAAGAACTCATTCCATCTTGCAAAACGGAAACTCTGTACTCATATAGCAATGACTCTCAAATCTCCCTCTCCCTCCCAAGCCCCCAGCAACCACTACTCTAGCTTCTGTCTTTATGAATTGACTACTCTAGGGACCTCCTATGGGTGGAATCACAGTATTCATGACTGACTTATTTCAGTCAGTGTAATGTCTTCAAGATTCATTAATTTTGTGGCATGTGTTCACTGATGTTGTGGAATTTCCTTCCTTCTTATAGCTGAATAATATTTCATCATTATGTTTAATACCACATTTGGTTTAGCCATTCATCCAGTGATGGACGCTTGAGTTGCTTCCACCTTTTGACTATTGGAGTAATGCTGCTGTGAATATAAGCATTAGCCTCTTTGCATCATAAGTACGGGTACTTCAAAAAGTTAATGGGAAATGAAATTAAAGTGCAAGTTTACTTGGGTGCAAAATAATTTGAAATCTATGCATAGATTTTTCATAATATCCATTTTGTGAACTTTTTGAAGATCCCTTGTACATTATTCCACCATATATCTATGGTCACACTGTGTTTGCAAGAAACTGATTTATTTTATAATGTAAAATTCTGTGTTATTCATGAGACAAAGGTTAGCATTTCCTTGGCTAGCTAATGGATTTTGGGGAGATTAAATTATGCACTTTTCAAAAAGAAATTTGTTACAGGGCTCATGTATTTGCCAGAGGAGAGAAACACAGAAGAGAGAGAGAAAGAGAAAGTGAAAAGGTACCCCCTCCATGAGTGATAGTCACACCATAATTCCTCCTCCTCCATCTCTACTTTCAAGATTTTGGGCATACACACACATGCTTCTCAAGCCACCAGGTCCGGTACTCTAATTGCAGTCAGCCATGTAGGATCCAACTTCCTTAATCACCACATCATGGACTGGTCCATTTTTTATTTTTTTTTAAGAATTATTTTTATTTAACTTTATTTATTATTATTATCATTATTATTTTTCAGTTTGATCAGAGAGAGACAGAGAGAGAAGAAATGAGAAAGCAAGCCACCAGGTCCGAGACTTGAACCATGGTCAGCCATGTGGGAGTCCAGTGCCTTTAACCACCATGCCACTTGCTGGCCCCAGACTGGTCCATTTTTTAAAAAAAATAAATGCACAGGCCAACTGACAATGAGTCTCAGACCCAGTGTCTTTAGAAATACTCCAGGTGTTCAGGGTTGGATAGGTGCAGGTCAAGAGGAAACTGGAGAAGAGATTGTGGCTTGGCCCTCCCCAATGGAGTTGGGGAGATTTCTTACTTTCTCTCCTCTGTCTCTCTCTGTTCTCTCCAAAGAGCACATGCATCCTATGCAAAATCTAAAAAGAAACACACACACACACACACACAAAATTGAGAATGCTAATAAACATATACTGAATTTTTTTTAAAAATCTGGCATAAAATAGCTACAGGGCTAATATTCATTTGTATGGATCAGAGCAGGCAGGCATTCCAAAATGATGTACCTACCTGCACTGCTGCCATAACTGTGGGAAAGACCCACCTAGAAAATGTTGGAAAAGAAGAATGATGGGCAGGTTTGTGTGATTTAAAGATTCAAATATTGCTAAGCTTTGGACTATACACCAATATACCATTGGTTTAAGAACAGACATTTAGTTTGAGGTCTTAGGTTTAGATCTTTGACATTTTGAGTTGATTTTCGTCAGTGGTGAGAGATAGGGGTCCAGATTCATCTTTCTGCAGATGGATACCTAGTTTTTCCAGCACTGTTTTCTAAAGAAGCTTTCTTTTTTCCACTAGACCTAAGACCTCAAACTATAAAACTACTACTTGAAAACACTGGGGAAACTCTGGGAGACATTGGAATAGGCAAAGACTTCTTAAATAACACCTGCAAAACACTGGCAATAATTTCAAAAATAGACAAGTGGGATTACATGAGGTTAAGAAGTTTCTGCACAGCAAAAGACACAGTAACTATTGTGAATCAACAACTCTCAGAATGGAAGAACATTTTTGTAAACTATGCCTCAGGTAAAGGACTGATAACCAGAATACACAGGAAATTCAAGTGGCTTATCTGAAAAAAAAATTACCAATCCAATTAAAAGATGGTAACATGAGCTGAACAAACAACTCTCTAAGGAAGACATACAAACAGCCAAAAAGCATATGAAAAAATGTTCAACATCCCTTATCATAAGGGAGATGCAGATCAAAACCACCATGAGATACCACCTAACCCCAGTCAGAATGGGTTTATAAAATTATGGAATTATAAAAACAAAAAACAGTAAGTGTTGGCAGGACCATGGTGAAAGGAGAACCCTCTCACACTCCTGATGGGAATGTAAATTAGTCCAGCCACTGCAGAGAACAATATGGAGATTCCTCAAAGATCTACAAATAGAACTACCATATGATCCAGCAATTCCACTCCTGGGTATCTCCCAAAAAGAACACTCAGTCAGAAAAATGATTGTATGTCTGTGTTTATTGTGACATTATTCACAATTGCTAAGACATGGAATCAACCCAAATGTCCACAAAGAGATGAATGGATTGAAAAAATGTGGCACATATACTCTATGGAATACTACTCAGCTGTAAAAAAGCAAGACCCTGGCTTTTGATAGAAAGTGGATAAATACGGAAGATTTACTGCTGAGTGAAATAAGCCAGGCTCTGAAAGAGAGATATTGTATATCTCCACTTAATATATACCGAATGTCCACCCTCTATGGTGGAAACTGAAAGATTAGAGGATATAGAAGCATGGGAAATGGTTATGGATACTGGATACAGTGTGAGAAGAGGGTGGGAGGAGGAGGAGAGTGTGCAGAAAGATATTAAGGAGAAAAATAGAGAGGCAAGACATTTATGGGACACAGAAATGGATTATTATCTATTGATGATAATGTGTATAGTATCCTCAGCTGGACTGGTGTGAAGTGTATTCATATTGGAAGAATTCACTTTAGAAGCTCAGTGATGCATTGTGACTGAATATATAAAAGAAATTAAAATTAAATTTTTAAAAGTACATAACAGAAAAAAAAAAGAAAGAAAGAAAAAGAACAGATAGATAGGGGCTGGCAGATAACATGGTAGTTAAGGTGCTAGGCTCCCACTTGGCCACTGTGATTCAACTCCCAGACCTGGCAGCTTGCTTGCTTGCTTTCTCACTTTCCCTCTCTCTCTTCCTCTCTCTAGTCAAATTAAATAATAATAATAATTACTATTATAAATAAAATTAAATAAATAATTATTTTTAAAAGTAGACCTATAAAAATAAGCCATAAATATGTAAGAGTAAGATAACAAGAATAAGTGTAAGTAAATCAAAAGTCCTTAAAGAAGTGATGTTTCAAGCAAGTAAGGGAAGAATTTATTATTCAGTAAGTTGCTCTGGAATGACAACTGTAGAAGAGGAAATGTTAAAGTGACAGAACTATAAAGGTGGTATTGGTTTTTATTTTGTTTTGTTTTGTTTTTTAAGTTTTGCACTCACCAGAGAGAGAGAGAGAGAGAGAGAAGGAAGGAATGTGAGAAATCATCCCCTGGAGGGATGATCATGCTGCAATCCCTTCCCCTCTGGTCTCTTCTTGGGCTTTTAGGCACACACACACACCAGCATGATTTTCAAGTCGTCGGGTCCAGGACTACAGCCATGCAGCCAACCATGTGGGGTCTCCATGCCACCTGCTGACTCTAGAGAGTTTTAAAAAAGAAGAAGAAAAGAAAAACACTTGAGAGGTATTAGGTTAGTAATGGGAAAGTACAAAATCATTATCTTCCCTATTCTTGTTTCCGTTGCTTCTTAACCAATTAGTGGCAAGTTCAGAAACCCACCACTCTCCCCGTGAAAGAAGGAATCTCCTTCCTTAGCTGGGCTTTACCACATGCCTTCAAAGAACTCATCTCGTTCCATCTTTACTCCCAAATATCATGAGATGATTTGAGTGTGTGATGGACAAGGCATTGAAGATTCAGAGAAGTTGCACAGTGTGACCCAGCTTTGTTTTATTATTGCTAATAAAGTTTGGAATTTGAGGTTTAGAATGAGTGACTTCAGGCCAACAGGTGGCATGTTGGTGAGTAAGGTGCTGGACTCCCCAGACCTGGTGACTTGCTTTCTCACTTTCTCTCTCCCTTTCTCTCTGTCTCTCTCTGGTGAGTGCATGTGCCTTATAGTAAATTTTTAAAAAGTAAATAAATAATTCTGAAAAAAAAAGGTTTAAAAAAATGAGTGAGTTCACTTGACAGGAAATCAAAATAAACCATCACCCCCTTCATACAACAATATAAATCCCAAATAAATCTATATGAATTTTAAATATTTAATAAAATGCTTAATATATATGTAAGTGCTAGAAGGAGACATAAAGATGAATATTTCTACTATCAGGTTGAAGCAAAGTCAAAATCAGACACTATAAAAGAAAACTTTCATGTAAAAAAATGTTAATGAAACACAGGAAAATATCGTGCAACATCGGACTGCCACAAAGAGGGCTATAGTACCCTTGCAATCTAACTGTCTAATGAGATCCTCAGAAAATGGTGGACCTCGCCACCATTGGCATAATGGTTACATCACTGGACTCCCCGTAGCCGACTGCAGTTCAGGTCCTGGACCCAGTGGCTTAAAACTCGCACCAGGCACATGTGCGTCTGCACTCAAAATTCAGAGAGTAGAATGGAGAAGGGATTGCGGCGTGGCCATTCCCCCAGGGGATGATTTCTCACTTTCTGTCTCTCTGTCTCTCTGGCGGGCACATGCTTTGTATAGAAAAAAATCTCTCAAAAAAATAAAAAAGAAAAAAAAGAAGAAAACAGTGGACCTCTCAACAGTAACATGTGCCAGAGATGTGAGAAATCCCTCTCCCTGCCCGTCTCTTTCTCTCTCTCTCTCTCTCTCTCATATACGCATGCACACACACACACTAACGTGGCCAAGAAATGAATAACATGTTATTTCTTACTGTAATAAAAAAAGGTCAAAATAAAATAAGGAAGCATCATTTTTGCCTCTTAAGTATTTGGGTTCCTTTTCATTTTGAAATGACTGAGTCAGCAGGGGCGTTCTCATATGCTGCTTGTAGTCACGTAAGTTAATAAAACCTTGTCACGGAAAGAATTTTGGCAATATGTATCTAAAACTTTTATGTGTGCATACCATAACCCATGTATCGGAAGAATAGAAAAAGTAAGAGAATAATAGAAAAAAAGTAAAGGAAGTAAAAGATCATAAGAGATGCAGAAAAATGTTTGGGAAAAGAATATTCCTTGATGCCTTATTTATAATAAGTTTTGAGAACAAATGATATACCCCAAAATAAGATATTGGTTAAATGTGGCTTCAATACCTTGCAGCTGTGACCTACAGCCTGGACCCCTGGGGCTGGGGCAGCAGGACCAGTCTCTTAGCAAACATGGTGGCCAACCTGTTCTTTCTATATAGACATAAGATTTCCATCTTTAGATTTCTCAAGGCTGAAAAACCAAAACATGCCACTAATGAGATTAAAAAACCTTTGTAGCTATAATCTGTAATTGACTCAGTATTAAAACTGCAAAAATTGATTGATCAGTTGCACATATTTCCAGACAGTAGATTGCAAATCAGTAGCTAAGGGTTTAGAAAACCGTCCACACGATACACACTATTAACATTTCCAGCCTGTGTGCATCCCTTGATGCCGCCCTCTGATTTGAAGTCTAGGGGTTTCACTTCATAGGCCTGATTTCCTCTTGGCCCTCACTACCTCAGGATGACTGGCCCACCCCATCCCTCAGGAACAGATGCTCTAAGGATGTAGTGGGCACACACCAGAGGCCTGGCCAGATTAGACATCATAATGCAATCGTGGCTAGAAAATTCCACCAGCGAATAAGCCAACTGGAAATCTGGGGCTTTGAGTTCATTTGAATCCCCATCCACATGGCTGGTGACAGTCAGTGATTACTTTTTGCCTCAGTTTCCACAGCTGAAATGAGCGTCAAAGCAGCGCATGGCTCCCACCTCTTATCGTGGGGGTCTTCTAAATCACCCTGCACACCTTTCAGCCAAAGAAACAGTGGAGCTAAGGAATCAGAAACCGTTCCTCATTTCTGTCACATTACGTAGCTCAGGGCCTCGGGTAGTGTGTCATCAGCTTCTTGGTCCCTGTTGCCAAGACAGGAATTTACTGATTTCTTCTGTGATTTCAGGCCAGAAGTGCAATCCGGGCTGTCCTAATGGAAGCTGCTGGGGTGCAGGCGAAGAAAACTGCCAGAAGCGTAAGTCAGCGAGCAGGTCCCCAGTGAGCAGGTCCCCAGCAGGTCCCCAGCAGGTCCCTGTGCGCCTGCGTCAGGGCCACCCTCGCTCTTTCGCTTAGGTGATTGGATTTGTTTTCCATTGAAGACGCCAGAAAGCTCAGCTTACAAGGCCAGATGTCAGCATTTCCGTGAATGACAGTCTTGCAAATCTCCCTGCATGCGGTTAATCCAGCGTGGGCTATTTTTGGCACTTCGGCCTATTGTAAATAAGTGAAAGTCAGCCACCCGACACCAGTCTTCTCTTGCAGCAATATGTTGAGCACATTTTCTTGGAAACTGAAGACGCGTCTGTGTTCACATCAGCCGCCAGACTTCTGCTTCCTGTCCCTTCCCACCCTCTCACTGGTCCCCACGAAAGTTCCTCAAGATGGTTTTTCTGCATGAATCCTACATTAGGGTAGAAGGTTAATTTACCTGCATGGTTGTCTGGCTCAGACTCTCAGTGGCCATGGAATTTGGGGACTTGTCAGCTGAAACGCTGACCATCTCTCCTTAGGTGTGACTGTGGGCTGGCCCCGGCTCCCAACACGAATACCTGTGTGTGTTTTCCTATAGCCCAGAAAGTGACTTCCAACCAGCAGCTAATCTGTAGCTGGACTAAAAGTCTAGACTTGATCTACTCAGTCTTCTTAAGTGAGCAAAAATTAATAGGGAGAGAAGGTGCAACGAGGAAAGGCGATTATATGATTTAATTTGTCTGAACGTGAGTGAGTGGGAACTTCCACGAGCCACAGATTCTCCAAATCGTCCTTTCCTCCCCTCGCTTGTTCTCCCTGGTTGTCTGCGAGGGTTGCGCGACATCCCCAGGAAGTATCTGTGCATCCCCCTGGGGTGATGTGCAGCTCACGGCGTCTCTGTTCCCTTTCAGTGACCAAAGTCATCTGTGCCCAGCAGTGTTCGGGGCGCTGCCGCGGCAAGTCCCCCAGTGACTGCTGTCACAACCAGTGTGCTGCCGGCTGCACCGGGCCCCGTGAGAGCGACTGCCTGGTAAGATGGCTTCTGTGGAGTCCACCACAGCCACCGTGCTGCAACTCCCCACCCCACCCTACCCGTGGCCGAGGGCTTCCTGCGGAAGCGGTGACAGGGAACACTTGAGGAGCAGACCGGCGTTGCTCTTGGCCTGGTGACAAAGCACCTTTTATTATCCTGCCTTGAGCAGGTGCTGTGTGACCTTGGGCAAATGACATGACCTCCCTGTATCTGTTTTCTCACCTGACAATGATGGCTAAGGAGGTGGTCTGGGTGGCATAGTGCACACAGCACTCGTCACCGGGAACCGGGCGTGGAACAAGCACCAGGTACAAAACACGAGTTGTTTGTCACGAAGGTCTGTCGTAGCGACGGCTGCAGCATCACACTGTACCGTTCCCCTTAGCGTTAGCACAAACCCAGAGAGTTGTACTGTAAGGTCCCCTGAGAGACCGATCTAGAGCTACACAGACCTAGGGAGGCATGACGGGCTGGGGCCACATTCGCATCTCCCGACTGATGACCTCAGAGCTGCGCTTCTGCCTCCGAGAGGCCTTGAAGTGCTCACTTCTGACCCCATGATTGCAGAAAGCTCTGGCAAAAGCCTTGCCCCAGCACCGCGGCTGTACCTCCCACCTGGAGGCTGCAGTCAGGAGTTATCTTGGAGGTCCTCACCCCACCAGATGGAATTGAGTTTAAAAATAATTCCAGCAGTTGGCATAATGACTATGTCGCTGGACTGCCATGTAGCTGACCACGGTTCGAGTCCCAGACCCAGTGGCTTAAACTCACACCAGGCACGTGTGTGTGCATGCCCAAGATCTTGAGAGGAGAATGGAGGAAAAGGGATTGTGGTGTGGCCATCCCCCTTGGGGGGTGATTTCTCCCTTTCTGTCTCTCTATCTCTCTCTGTCATTCTGGCAAGCGCACACACCGTATAGCAAAACCCTCTCCAAAAAAATGTAAAAATAAATAATAATAATAATTTCACTCCCTAGTTACCACTCTAAGGTGCGAAGCCATTTGACATCTGTAAATCAATAGATGGGTGTATTTTCTCTCCTCACACTCCATAATTATGACAGCCAGCCCAGAATATTCAAGAAAAACTACCTTTAGGAGAAAGTTCTCTCTAGTGTGGAGAGTGCTCTCTAGGCTTAACTGAACTCTGTAACCTGCGTTTTCACTTGGGGCACCGAGTGTGCCCGCCACCTTAACCAGGCGTGTGGTCCCTCCTGTGACAGGTCTGCCGCAAGTTCCGAGATGAAGCCACGTGCAAGGACACGTGTCCCCCGCTCATGCTATACAACCCTACCACGTACCAGATGGACGTCAACTCCGAGGGGAAGTACAGCTTTGGTGCCACCTGTGTGAAGAAATGCCCCCGTGAGTCCATGCCCCGGGACCCTTTGACTGTCAGGCATCCGTGGCCCACTAGGTCTTCTGTTGGAATCCCATGTCAGGGGGTCACTGGGTTGCTGTGTTTGCCCCGCTGTCAGCAAGTGACCGTGTGCCTGTCTGTGTGCAGAGATGAGGGGTCTGCTCACTGCTGAGGAGAGGCCTGGCTGCCTCAGGTGATGGGGCCGCTCTGCTCACAGGACACGGCATCTGAATCGGTTCATGGGAACGACAGCATCGCTCAGCCCGGTAACTGAGGGCCGCTGTGGTACTCTAGGGCCAAAGGCACCAACCCAGGGTCCGCTGGGCCACTCACTGGTTAGCCCTTGTGCCACACAAACATTTAACAGCTCTAAGGTAGAGAGGGTGGCAGAAAACCTGTGTTGCTGAGTGTTTAAAATTCTGGAGAGGGTTGTGCCTCTTGGGAGTATTGCAGAAATTTGATTTTTTACTTTTGTTTTCTTAATTATTTGGATTTGGGTTTTATTTGTATTTACAGCTACAGAATTCTGGGAAATGGCATCATAAATTATTTCCTAACAGATAAAGTGGGGGCATCCTGTGGGCTAGTGCTTAAGGGAGCTGGATCCCACATGGCCAACCACAGTCCAAAACCTGGCCCCGGTGTCATGCGTGTGCACGTGTGCATGCCCAGAATCCCCCCAGGACAGAGACATGGAGGAGAAGGGATTACAGCATGACCGCACCCCACTTGGGGTTTCATCTCTCTCTGATGAGTACACAGGCTCTCTGATCATTTAAAAGCAAAAAAAAAAAAAGAAAAAGAAAGTGAAAAGTTGACAAAAGAGCTTTAGAAACCAATCTTGGGGGCCGGCAAGTGGCATGGTCGTTAAAGGCGCTGGACTCCCACATGGCCAACCACAGTTCAAGTCTCAGACCTGGTGGCTTGCTTTCTCGCTTCCTCTCTCTCTCTCTGTCTCTCTCTGATCAAACTAGAAAATAATAATAATAATAATAAATAAAGTTAAATAAAATAATTCTTTAAAAAAAAAAAAAGAAACCAATCTTGACTTCGAGAAAGGTAAGTGAAGAAAAAGTCTTAGAAGAACAGCTATGAGAGGGAGATATTACCTGACCAGATTTGTGTACATGAACATTTATAAAATAAATAATAAAAATAAATAAATAACATACCAATTGAATAAGCTTTAATAATATTTTTATTGTACTTTATGGTTTAGGGTACAAGATGGTCTTTAAAAGCATGCATACAGTGTGTAATAAATCGAGGCTGTAAACATATTCACCTGAAGCCAGCAGGTGGCATAGTGGTAAAGGTTCTGGACTCCTACTTGGCTGACCACAGTTCAAGTCCCAAAAATTGTGACTCGAAACTCATGCCAGGCATATGTGTATGCATGCCTAAAATCCCAAGAGCAGAATGGAGGAGAAGGGATTGTGGTGTGGCCGTCCCCTGGTGGGGGTGGGGTGATTTCTCACTTTTCTCTTTTTCTCTCTATCTGTGTCTTCAGTGAGTGCATGCACCCTATAGCAAAAGTCTCTCTAAAAAAAGAAGGGACCAGCAGATGGCATAATGGTTATGTCACTGGGCTCCTATGTAGTCAACCATGGTTCAAGTACCAGACCTGGTAGCTTAAACCTCACTCCAGGAGTGTGTACATGCATGATCAAAATCCCAAACACCTTTAAAAAAAAAAAAGTTGAATCTGAACTTTTAACTGTTTTGTTGGGAAATTTAATCCCAACATTCAATGTTTTCTTTTATCTATATGTATAGGCTTACCCTTTTTTTCTACTTGTTTTGTGTTCTCTTACTTCTATTTACTTCTCTTTAGTTTTCCTGATGTAGTATTCTCTTAAGTATTTCCTGAACTATTGGTTTAGTTTTGGCTAATTCTTTCAGCATTCGTTTATCTGGGAATGATTTTATTTCTCCTTCCCATTTAAAGGATAATTTTGCCTAGTATAGTACTCTTGGCTGAAACTGTTTTTCTCAGAGTTTTAAATATGTCTTCCCCTTCTTTCCTTGCCTGGATTGTTGAGAGGTCCAATTTTAGTTTAGTGGGGTAATCTTGGTAAGTAACTTGGCATTTTTCTCTTGCCATTTTTAGCGTTTTTACTAATTTGGCTATAATGTGCCTTGGAGAGGAACTTATTATGTTATATCTATTTGGTGTCCTCTGTAGTTCCTGGGTTGGATGTCTGCACGCCTCTCTAAATTTGGAAAGTTCTCATTTAATAAATCATGGAAGAGATTTTTCTATACCTTTACCTGTCTCTTCACTTTCTGGAATACCTATTATGCAGCTATTTGGCCATTTAATGGTGCCTAGGATTTCCTATATATTGTCCTGATTTCTAATGGTTATTCTTCTATTTTTTTTTTGATTGCTTGGATTAAATTGGAGCTTCTGTCTTCAAGATCAGAGATTCTTTCTTCCATATGGTCTAATCTGCCATTGATACTTTTGACAGAGGTTTTGATTTCCTGCATCATAATCTTTATCTCCAGAAGTTGTTTGATTCTTTTTCAGTGTGGCTATCACCATATGGAGCCATAAGGAGGACCTTCAAGTCATGGAAGGATTTCCTCATCTCCTGGAATTGGTTGTCTGTTTTCCCTTGCATCTCATTGAGTTTTATTACAGTGAATATTCTGAATTCTTTCTCTGACATTTCTGTGATCTCTTGTGTTTTATCTGCTGTTGGTGAGGAATGGGGGAGGTGGTGCTGCTCTAGCTTTCAAGGACCACCACCCCGTTCCTTCAGCCCAGAAACAGAAGAAGCAATAGGGAGGCCGAGGCAGCTTGGTCTGAGCTCATCAGCAGGGCCCACCACCCAACCTGCTGCGCTTCTCCTACCGTAGGCCCCCTATTGACCCTTCCATCTCACTCCTGGATCGGTGAGGGCAGAACAGTGTCAGCCCACTGGGGAAGCAGCTCTCCTGCCTTCTACCTTATGTCTCCCTCATCCTGTTGCTCCTCCTGTCTCTGGAACTGCAGGAACAGGGGGCTGGTTCTTGAGGGCTGGAACAGCCCCTCCTCCCGTACAGCAGAGTCCCTGCTGATAAGTTCAGTGGAGTAGCCTAAGCCTCCCTACACCAACAGAATAAAAAGCTATTGTAAAGTATATAAAGTACATGGCAAGCTAAGATAAAGAAATCTTTGCCACAATTATAACACAGATATAATCGTTGAGAGACATTTCATAGAGAGCATTTAAATCCGTAGAAAGATATATAGAGCCTAAAATAACAATAGCAGACAGTTCACAGAAGAAAAAATACAAATATCCAGTAAGTATTTGAGGACTATTTGAGGGACCCAAAACAGGAACCCATAAAGCTCCTACAAATAGTATAGAAGTTAATATTAACACAGATAAATTACCTTAAGGGAGACTCCCAAAATATTCAGACAAGAAGCCATTTTAAAACTGAGGTATGTCCTGGCGTGTTCAGGGAAGCCATGCTCTAAACCCATATCCTAGGCCCCCAAAATATTCAGACAAGGTAGGGCGACCTCCGTCTTCTGTCTCTGGCTGGCTGGCTGTCATATGCTCTCTCTCCCTTTCTGACTGTCTCACACTCTACCTCCCTTTAAATTTTTTAACTTTTTTTTCTTTCTTTTTAAATTTTTTTAAGCACCTCTCCTCAGCTCGGGCCTTTTCTTTCATTTGTTAGTTTCAGAAGCCATGTTAAAGCTGAGGTGTGTCCTGGTGGTGTGTCCTGGCGTGTTCACGCAGCATGCTTCATTTTTACTATTTTTTGGTAGTAATTTTCTATTTTTTTTCTTTTTTGCTTATTTTTTTAACCTTACTTTCTTACTCCAAGCTTCACTCTCCACACACTTAATGTCTAGATAGGGCTAAGTACATTGTTGCCAAGCATCTGAATCCTATTAGATTCATTGAAATCCTGAACATTTATTGAACATCCTGCTTTAACAAAGAAATTTCTTTCTATAATTCTTAACTCCTAATCTTTCTGTTGATACCACATTGCTAAGCACTATGGAGGAGAGATTTTGTCACAGAATGACCAGAAACAACTGCAGAGGCAAAAGAAACATGAGAAACCAAGAAAATATCTCTCCCCTAAGGGAAAAGAACAATACCTCGTCATCTACAGACAGTACAGTAGAATTCTTGGAAATGTCTGATAAAGACTTCCGAATATTCATAGTGACAAAACTAACTGAGATGCAAGGGTCGAGAGACAATGAACGCAGGAGATGCAGGAGAATAGAGAGGAGTTCCAGGAGGTGTTGAAGTTCTTTCATGATCTGAAAGAGGAAATACACACCATGAAAAAGAATCAAATGGAGCTATTAGAGATGAAGGCTGCCCTCCAAGAAATCAAGACATCCCTCGAAAGTATTAAAAGCAGATTAGTCCATGCAGAAAATCGAATCTCGGATATAGAAGGCAAAAACTCTAAGCTAGAAAAAACAACCAAAAAAACTGAGACAATAACCCCCAAAAAATGAGAATACTATATAAGAAATACTAGACAGCATTAAGTGCCAAAACATCCAGATAATTGGTATTCCAGAAGGTGAGGAAACTAATAAGGGCACTGATAATCTAGTCCACGAAATCTTGGAAGAAATCTTTCCAAATCGAAAGAGTCATTCAAGTATCCAGACCCAAGAAATACAAAGGACCCCTAATAGAATCAACCCAAGAAGATCTTCTCCAAGGCACATCATAGCCAGACTGGTCAAAACTATAGACAAAGACACCAAAATTGGCAAGAGAGAAGTGTCAGGTTACTTATAAAAGTTATCCCATCAGGCTATCCTCAGACCTTTCATCAGAAACAATGTGAGCAAGGAAAGAATGGGAAAATATATTCAAGGTGTTGAGTGAAAAACAGTTTCAACCAAAAATACTATACCCAGCAAGATTATCTTTCATATGGAAAGAAAGAATAAAAACATTCTCAGATAAACAAGACTTGAAAGAATTTGCCAGTAGCAGACCCACTCTTCAAGAAGTTCTGAAAGGAGTGCTCAACCAGTAAAACTAAAGATACATACAGAAATAAGAGAACACACACACAGAACAAAAGACAACCAAGAAAACAAACAATTTATTGCTAGGGACAAGAAGTATCAGTAACAATGTAGAATGTTAACTTCCAGGATTTAAATGGAAAGATTGGACCACAGTAACACTGCATATTCAACAGAAGAGAGTTTGAACATAAGCTGAACTGGCGAAATAGAATTTTATGGCTTTTGAGTAAAACACTACTGATTTTTTTTTTACTATGCTTTGTTTTCCCAATTTAAACAGTTTACTTTCTTTTCAGTTGTTGATAGGTTCAGCAATTTGTTAAAATATTTTTCTTGTTAGTTTCTTTAAATAGAAACATACACCTTTCTTCCTTCCTGACCCCTCTGGAATTGGAAAATATTTGGGAATGTTCTTATTTTGTGACAGAAGGGTTATTTGCGTAAGTTCGATAATGCTTGGTGCACTGATTCAGAAATCGGAAATACTCAATATTGGACAGGGCTTTGACTGGAATGTCATATCTGAATATTACTCAGAAAACTATGGAGCTAAGGTGGATCTCAAGTAAGCCAACAGAAGCTCTTAGAAAGATGGTCTGGTACCATAAATAGTTCTGCCTGGCAGAGAGGATTAGAGAAGATATATGAAAGAATTTATAACATTAAATAACCTGGACTTTTCCAGCCTAGCATTGTAATCAGTAGAGACTGCAAAAGAGCAACCACACCAGAGAATTACAACCACACCAGAGGATTATTTTGAGAAAGACTTTGAAAGAAGAAAAAGAGACAGATCTTTGCTAGCAGATGGTCTATCACAGAATACTTGGGCAGGGCTGAATTGAGAAGGTTTATGTGTGACTAGTGTGCTGGGCATTTGGTTTTCAATAATTTGAGTACCTGACATGTAAGTATTTTCTCAAAAATATTTAAAACCATACTGTTTCTGTTGTTATAGAGTCACAAACAAAATTAAACAAAATTGTAAGAAATATTTTGAACATTATCTTTAAAATTCAGTATTTTGAAATTTTGAAAGTTATTAACTGTCAAGAACTATGGAGTGTGAGTTAAAATTTTTTGATATGTAAAGTAAATGTTTGTGGGAAAATGTAAAAATAAACAAATAAATAAAAAAATAATTTTTTTAAATTACCTTAAGGAAGATGGGAGGTCGAGAAAAGGACCGAGGCATGGGGCTCGGATGCAGACCAAGGTGGCCCTTCACACCCAGGAAGGGTAGTGTGGCCACATCGAAAAGAATCGTGCAAAGGCAAAGCCAGTCAGACACAAGAATTAAATGCAGCCTCATATGTAGCCCCTTGAGTGAAAAACTAGTCTAAGTCACATTCACATTTTCTCTCTCTTTCTTCCTTTTTTGTAATTTTTGCTATAGTGTGTGAGCACTCGCCAGAAAGACAGGAGGATAAAGAGTGAGACAGTGAGAAAGCACCTCCCAGGGGGGAGGGTCACACTGCATTCTCTTCTCCCTCATTCACTTCTCGGGATCTGGGACATGCTTGCACTCGCACCTGGCAGGTTCCCCTAGCCGCCGGGTCTGGGGCTTGAACTGAGCAGTTGGCCATGTGGGATCCAGTCACCTTAAATGCCATGCCATGGGCTGGCCTGATTCCTATTGTTTTAATAAATATTCCAGCTTTAACTGTAGGGACAGGGAAAGATAGATCCTGCAGAAAAGAAGTAGCTTGAGAACAGTGCTTTAGACACGGTGAGCACACACACGGCTTCTCCCTGTGATGAAGTCTGTATTTCTCCATATTCCAGTCCAGAAAGTGATTAAACTCTTGAGCCTGATTCTTTTCCTGTTTGCAACCTTCCACTCTTTGTCATTAAAGTAAATAGAGCCAAAGCATCTGGACCCTCTTCACCAGCCCCTTTAGAGGGGTGTTTGAGTGAGGCCCAGAAACACCTGGTGCCGCTGTCACCACCTCCCTCTCGCTGTCTTTTCTTCAGGTAACTACGTGGTGACAGATCACGGCTCGTGCGTCCGCGCCTGCGGACCTGACAGCTACGAGATGGAGGAAGATGGCGTCCGCAAGTGCAAAAAGTGCGAAGGGCCTTGTCGCAAAGGTAGGCAGCGTACGCTGTGTGGCCAGGCTTTTCTGATCACAAAGTTGGACTCTTACTCAGTCTCCAAAGGAGCACATCTCACTCCTCTAAACATACAACGGTATTGTTTCTTTCAAGTAGAAGCTGGAACTGCAACTCCAGTTAGTGCAGCCAGGGACAAGCACTGATTCGAGCCGTGTGCAGAGGCCACCCTGGCTGCAGAGGTGGCCTTCCTGCCCTGGAGAGAAAGGAGCGGAAGAAAGTCACTCAGGAGTCAGACCCTGGCCTCTGTTGGGGAGCAGGGAGGGAAGAGTGCGAGGGCAGTGAGCCCCATGATGGCCATGGCATCTCCTCCCACCACTGTGACCCAAGCCTGCCATGGCTCCTGGTAGCTAGTAGTTGCTCCCTCAGGGTTTGCTGAATGAATAAAGGCTGGCATGGCGGCCACCATGCCGCTGGCCGGAGTTCCTTCCCTGCTCCCTCTCCCTGGACCCCCAGCTATTCTTGATTCAACCAGTGCAGACGAACAAACATCTCTCTTTACCTTAACAGTGTGTAACGGAATAGGAATTGGTGAATTCAAAGATACGCTTTCCATAAATGCTACAAATATCAAACACTTCAAAAACTGCACCTCCATCAGCGGAGATCTGCACATCCTGCCGGTCGCATTTAAGGGGTAAGTAACAGGCTAAACCAGAGAAAACTGACGCCTGCCTTTTCACTGGTCAAGATCGGTACTCAGTCATCGTTCTGGTATTTGTTTCAGCGACTCCTTCACACGCACTCCTCCTCTGGATCCGAAGGAACTGGACATTCTAAAAACCGTAAAGGAAATAACAGGTTTGTACTGGTATAACCTATGAATGTAAATGAGAAATCGGTGTTGTAGGAAGAGGACTTTTAGACAAATTGTCTTCTTTGCATAAAATATTTATTCTGGAATTCTACTATTAGTGACTCATTCTTTGATCCTTTCCAGAACTGCAATTTTTCCTGCACCCACAATGAACATGTTAAGCAAAGGCTGGGGCCATTCCCAACTTTGGGTAAACATGTGTAACCCCAGTTTTTTCAGCCCAGATGGGCCATCTTACCAATGCAGTAACTTTAGTGCCTAGAGGGAGGGAAGGATGAGGAGGCGAGGTCCCAGCATGGGCTCTGTAGCCTTGTAATGTAGGCTCCAAACCCCTGCCTGGCCACTGGCTGGCCGTGGATCCTTAATAACCCCCTGAACTCCACTTTTTTTCATCTCTAAGGGGAAATAATTAGACCTAAAAGCAAAGCTGTTGGCAGGATTGGAATTAAATAAGGAGAGTATGTAAAACTCCTTGAGTGGAAGAGCCGCCCAATGATCGTCAACTGTAACCAGAGGGGGAGCCTGTTCAGAGCAGTCACTATGGAAGCCAGCAAGGGTATCCAGGCCACAGCATGATGGGGCAGCCTGCATGTAGGGTGGGAGTGGGGTGATGGCAAAGGAGGCAGGGTGCCACAGAGGCAGCCTTGGTTTGAGCCCGCTCATGTATGGTCATACTCTGCAAAAATGATAAAAAAGACTCAAATCACATTTTCACATTTACTGTCCGTGTCATGGTCTTGTGAAAATCCAAAACGAGGTCTCATACAGAAAAGAAACTTCTGAGTAGTGCGTGCCTGAGCCTCCCCTCTGCCTTGCAGGGTTCTTGCTGATCCAGGCATGGCCTGGAAACAGGACTGACCTACATGCTTTCGAGAACCTAGAAATCATTCGCGGCAGGACAAAGCAACAGTAAGTTGACCCAGCCAGACTCTGGTAGATCATTTTTCTGTCTTCTTTATTTTGAAATCAGACTTACAGAACAGTTGCCAAGATAGTACGAGGAGTTCCTCTATATCCCTCCCCCAATACTAGCATCTTTCACGAGCAGGTGCAGAGACCAGGATGAAGAAATTCATGTTGGTTCAAAGCTATTGACTACACTGTGGGCTTTGTATATTTGGGGTTCGCCAGTTTTTTCCTGAAGGCATTTATTCCATTTCAGTGTCCACTCCAGGATCCTATATCCCATTGGCTGTTACATATCTTTGTCCCCTCCGATCTCTATTAGTTCATGGCTTCCTCACCTTGCCTGGCCCTGACACTTTTTTTAAAAAATAGGTTTAACTTAATTTATTTTAACATTCATTTATTTTAATTTGACCACACACACACACACACACACACACACACACACACACACAGAGAGAGAGAGAGAGAGGGAAAGTGAGAAAGCAAGTCACCAGGTCCAGGACTCGAACCTTAGATGGCCATGTGGGAGTGTCCAGTGCCTTAACCACCACACCACCTGCTGGTCCCCAGCCCTGACATTTTTATTTTGCAGAATGTTTGTGTTTGGTGATGGTTCTCAGGTTGCAACTGAGGTTGTGCCTGTCATTTAACACTAAAGGTTTTTCCATGATTTCCACCTTCCTAACTCCAGTCATGAAATACATACACAAACACATACACCATCCTTTTTTTTTAATTGTCAGGTACATGCCCTCACCAAAGAGAGATACACAGAAAGGGAGAAAGTATCCCTCAGTGGGATGTGGTCATGCCACAACCCCTTCTCCTCCATTTCTCCATCCTGTTAGGATTGGGGGCAAGTCACCTGTCAGGATTCAAACCATGGTCAGCCATGTGAGATCCGGCTCCCCGAGTCAGTAGAGTCCAGGGCAGCCCACGGTCATGGTTACTATAGTAAGTTGGTTAATTGGTTTTGTGGTGAGGGGTTTGGGACTCTCGAGGTCATCTCTGCCTAGAAATAGTCCAGCTGTGAGAGCCACTGCCCATAGCTGGCCCTTCCAGGACCACTCCACACTGTGTAGTCAGGATTGGAAAGAGCCAGAATGCCGTGTACACGACACGGACATCGCTCTCCTGTACTTGGCTGTGCATCTCGGCTTAACACCCAGTTAACATCACTTCCCAGAAAGGACCTTTGCTCTGAAATCTCAGGAATACTTTTTTTTTTATAATACTCTTTTCTTAATTTTTTAATTTATTCATTTATTTATTTTAATTTGACCAGAGCGAGATAGAGAGAAAGCGAGAAAGTGGGAAAGCTAGCCACCAGGTCCAGGACTTGAACCGTGGTCGGCCACATGGGAGTGTCCAGCACCTTAACCGCCACGCCACCTGCTGGTCCCAGGAATATTTTCTTTGTCCAAGGTTCACACAGAGATGAAAGTTATTCCGGTTAATTTTTTTGGATGACTGCTATGTACTACTGGGATTCAGCCTAATGATTTAAATGAGAGAAGATTTCTTATTTTTCTTCTCATATTTAATGAGAAGCCAAGATACCAGTGCCTACCAAGGCAGGGGACCATTCGCCAAACCACGCCTGCCCTGCATGGAAGGCCTCAGCTCTGCCCGTGGGATCTTGGCTTCTGGGGCACATGTTGGGGAAGAATTCCTACAGTAGTGACTACAGGTCCTCTCCACTGGGCCCTTGTGTCTCTGGAACCAGGTGTAGGGAGAAAGGATGGGGAGAAAAGCACCGGGAGAGAGAGGGGTCTTCCAAATTATGCGTTAAATCATCATCCAGCGCCTTTGTTACCAGTCTCTGCATTCAGCCCTGTCTCAGCTGGCCTGTTCCTCATCCTGTCAAATGAGCCTCCTATAAATGCAGATCTTTCCTGTGGTTTCCCAGCAGCCAGGAACAACAGCCCGAGTGCTTTCACGTGTGCCCAAGGCTTTTGGTGCTCTGGCCCCTTCCCTTTTCAGACACACTCCCCCCAGCAGTGCCCACCCGCCGTGTGGCCAGCAGTCATTCTGGCCCTCGGCACCCACCAGGCGCTTCCTGCTCCCCCTCCCTTACATGGGTCTTTTCATCCAGTGACCTGTGAGCGTGCACTGTCAGCCTCCGAGGGCCAGCACAGCACTGGGCAGTGAAGACGGTGTCGCAGTTCCTGCCCTCGAGTCTTCGCAGTCTGAGGCATCACTTCAAGAAAACCACGCCTTTCTAGACATCCCTCCAGATTCGTGTAGATGTCCCTGCTCTTTGTTTCCACGGTGCCAACTGTCCCTGTACTCATCACGCTGGGTTCGAGTGACCTGCTGATAGGGTCGTCTCAGCACTAGACAAAAGGCCCCTCGTGTGTAG